CTACTAACTACTAACTACTAACTACTAACTACTAACTACTAACTACTTACTACTTACTACTAACTACTTACTACTTACTACTTACTACTTACTACTTACTACTTACTACTTACTACTACTACTACTACTACTACTACTACTACTACTACTACTACTACTACTACTACTACTACTACTACTACTACTACTACTACTACTTGCTGCTGCTGCTGCTACTACTACTACTACTACTACTACTACAGCTACTACAACATACTACAACTATTCATTACAGGGCTCTATTGGAAGCCACCCAAAAACCCACTGAGAGGATAGATTTTCAGTGTCGCCGGTGGGTTCGTCGAAAAACTCTGCGTGCTGCACGATGATGGATGACCCGATGTTGGATGACCCGGCGGGCTTGGGTGGAATGACCTGAAATCCTGTTGTGCAAGGTTGCCCATCCATGCAGGTTTCTTGGAATCATTGCTTTGTTTGCTGACTTGTGCAACTCGTAAGGAATGAGGGAATGGATCCAAAGGAATCTCTGTTGGAGGCGAAACTTCCCTCGTTCCCCTACTAAGAACCAGTCAGTTTGTTTTGTGTTGTTTTGTTTTCTCTTTCTTTCAGCTTCCTCTGGATGGGCTACCGTTCTGGCTGTGTAGCCTTGCCCAGCTTTTGCATGTAGGCGCTTTCCGGGCTTTCCGGGGAACTATACTTTCGCAGCAACCTTGTGTAGCCTTTGCATAGCCTTGTCTTATAGTGTTTTGGGGCTGAGCAACAAGAAAGACCGCAAAGCAGACATCGAAAACGATAGTAGGTCAATAGTGTTTGATTCCGCAGCTACGTAGAGTTCGATTCGTTCTCTCTCAACTCTTACACACCAAGGTTCCCGTTGATAAGGGCCTTTGTATTATTCGATGTTTTTTCACTTGTTTAATTCACGATGTTCACCCTGATGGCCAAGTAAGGTGCGAAAAACACCGTGAGGTCCGGTGCTTTTTCGCTTCTCAGACCCTCCTCGCCCACGAGGCGTGTGACCTTTCTCTTGGCCATCCTGGGCAACTTTGCGGCCTTCGCAGCCTTTGGCCGCCTGGACCGGGCGAGTGGCGCTACAGCGGAGTGACGAGACGACCGGCGGTCACGTCGAGAGTGACCACTGAAGCCCTTGGGGTTGGGAGAACTGCGCGTAAAGGTATGGCATTTGCATCACACATTTAGAGCAAAAGCGACTCTCGGGTGTTTTCCTCCCACTCCGGTCTTGGTCGGTCGGTCCTACCCGCGTGCACCGGGGCCTTTGGAGCGGAACAACAAAACTGCTTCGGATCAGTTTCAGAGTCAACTGACGATGAAGATCTTCCCTTTGAGCCTCACTGAGCAAGAGCCATGGAAGTACGGGAAGTACGCAGCCAGGGCATCTTGGCCATTGTGCTTGCCAGGAGTTCCAACAAATGCTGGTGGTTGGACCACGAAAAAAAACACTTATATCAGACTTTGTCAGACACCGTACTCGTTTTGACCATCCCCAAGACACAGACCGTTTTTCGGACTTCAGTCGACTTCACGCGGCTCTTCTCATCGGGCGCACCAGCGGCCAAAGCCTGCCGTCTTCGATCGCGCGACCCAACGGGCTCAGCCCTGCTCGACTCGCTGCGAAGCGTGGAACCGGTTCGGACGGTCGGACGGTCGGGACGGAGAAATCTCCCAGCTCCGATCGTTTTCGTGTATGGCGAGGATGTAGCATAGATGTATAGTTCCATGTGAGCCGCTCTAAAAACCTGCCTTTACATCTTAAGTAAGGACCTTGTCATATTGAATTCCGCGTAAGCAAAACCCTGGGTTGCGTAAGATTGCGTAAGCATTTCGCGTAAGCATTTCGGAAGTTTGCGTTGCGTAAGCAAAAGTGAGGGCCGCGTAAGCAGCGCGAAAGGCCTCGCGCAAGGAAAGTGATACGACATAGGGAGTGACTCCAGGTTTTTAGAGTGGCTCATGTGATAACACCAAACATCTCGCTACATAGTTCCAATGGAAGTACACATCTCGCTATAGGTTACATGTATAGTTCCAAACTAGTTTGGAGATGTGTGGGGGTTCCATGAAACATCTCCAAACACGCTGGTATCCTGTGAGTCGACATCGGACATCCACCTCCCAGGTCCCCCGTCCACTCGCGCAGGCCGAGTCGCAGCGTGTGGGAGCGGAGGCACCGAGGAGGGCCTTGCCTGGGTGCCCAGCGAGCGACGTGACTCGGTACCCTGTGTACTTCTTTATAATCATGGGTGGACCATGGCCCCCTTTGAAGAGGATATGGTCCTCAAGAGTGGTGTATGGTGGTGTATGGTGTAATCACGGTGCAAGACACAACAAGTGACAACTGGCTGACTGGCGGAGACGGAATCCAATCTTCCGCCTTTTTCTCCGCTCCACACCTCCTCGAGCTCGTCTCAGAACGGCGCAGCTCTTTCCGGTCCAGGACCGCTCTCGAAGAGTGTGTTCCGGGCTTTGCAACTCCTTCCAGGCGGCTTTTGCCGGCCTTTCTCGGGTCAACGGCTTCACATGAAACCCGCTGGAGGGTGAACCCGCCCTCTCGACTCGCGACCTGGGTGGCCTGGGTGGCGGCGCCCGACCATTAGGACGCGGTTTTAGGATCGGCCACCTCGGTCGGTCGGCACGTGCTGAGACCAGGGGCGATGGTCAGACGTGTGGGGAATGACGCGGTGTGCACACCGATGCGGATGACGTGTGGTGGGGTGGATGCTTAAAGTTGAACAGAGAATGTGCCAGGGGTTCTGGTTCAAACTGCGCAGCTGGAACCAAATTGATGCAAATGGGAGGGGGTCCTGTTGACACTCCCATGGAACTGGCATGTTGGCCAATCAGTTGGGGTGGTTGAAAAGGGATCAATGGGATGCTAGATATATGCCTCACATTGTCGGTGTGGGTGTATGCACGCCCCATGATCGGGATGTCCACTCAGTAGGTGCCATCCTCCATGTTCTGATGAGACCCAGAAACAGGGGGTCAACTCGACCCACCGGCCACTGCGAACACACCGCACGAGCGAATGACATGAAAGCACCCTGCCATGACACTTTTCTCCACGAAGCGACGGGTCGTGGGAAGATGTGGGAAACATGAAGATGCCACTGGCATCGACAGAGCATCAAGAAACATGCATCTGCCATCGACTCGACCTCGCGGTGCGACCAAGTGAGGAACTCCCGGCTTTTGGCTGAGGGTCTACCTGTCAAGTGTGCGAATTGTTCCTTACCCCCCCCCAAAAAAAACGACCTCAGTCACCTCAGTCCTCAGGTCGGAACAGATGAGGCTCGACCTCATGCAGCTGGAGGTGATGAAGGAAGACTTCAAGGCTCCGACAACTTCACCGAAGCGACGAGACCCACCGAGACAACACCCTGGTGATGGGGCGGGCGGGGGCTTTTGGAAGGTTTGGGAAGCACACGGTGTTGGGGTAGAGCACCGCGCTGAAAGAAGGTGGTCTTGTTGGCGAGGCTCCTTTTCAGCGGCAGATTTGGAGGGTGAAACGCACGACATTGGAGGGTTCTTTCTTTCTTTGGAGGGTGTTTTTTGGGAAGGTATGAATCCATCATCCTCTGGTGCTCTGTGGACGCTTCCAAACAATTTTGCTGTATTTTACTTACTTGGCGGTCTCACAGCAGGTTGAGCAGCACTTGGTGTGAACATTGGGGCACTTCCCAAGATGGGACTTGTTTTCAAACATAAAGACGATGGCACATGATCCACTTTATGTATCTTTAGAACTATAGAACTGTATTTTAAAGTATTATAGAACATGCATGAACATGCCCTTAGATATGTTTAGCCAGGTGGATGTATATATATATACCGTAAGTCTAATGGGACAACTATATATATGATATAATATGTGTATATGTTAATAGAACAACTGTAACATGGTGTCTACATGATGTTTGATTATATAGCTCTTATTTATATATATAATATACATTGTTACATAATATATATATATATATATATCTGACTTGTGTATGCTTGTTTGACTTGTATTTTGTATAGATCTTCTAAGTAACTTTTTGTCATTGCGATATGAAATCCGGAATATGTCAAACATATCACATGTAATGTGTATCATTGTTCTTGGATGCTCCCATGCTCCACATCCTGTGAGATTGTGTGTCGCAGGCTGCCGAACGTCGGTGACGTCACGTCGCGTCGCGTCACACCGGCGCTCGGTGACGTGCCGCGGTCAGGCCACAGCTGCCTCGTACATGGAGTGCAACAAGGTGCAGTTGCAGCACATCGGCCAGTCTCCGTGACGGCCAACCGTGTTGAAGACGGCCACGCGTTCCGTGACGGGTTGGTGCGGGCAAGAAAGGAGAAAGGGGGCCAGAGATGTGAAGACCTTAGGAAGTCCTGTTCGAAGAAGCCAAGATCTTCATGAGAATGACATAAGAAAACGAGAGCTATATATATATATATTATATACTGCATGTTGCAATTAGTGATATGAAAGGCAGTCACACGCAGCCACAGTGAAGTCCTGTTCTACTACTACAGGCCCTTCACAATCGAACGCACAAGCTGACAAGCTTGAGGATCGATCCTCATGGTGTCACGGGTCACTATGTGTCACTGCATGCCAAGCGAAGCGGGCAGAAGATCTGGCCTGTGTACAGAGCGGGCGCCTTTGGCGTTCGACGCAAGCAACGCCACCCGTCAAAGCAGTGCGGAAACTGGACATCCTCGGGCCGTTCGTCATCAATAGACTGTACCTGCACTACAGATGGACCTCCAGGGTGTCCCCTGGAAAATGAGGATCCTAGTGGAAGACTGAAAATGGAGGGCGAACTGCCAGGGGTTTCTGGGGGATACTCTGCTTGAAACCTTTATTTGAGGTCCCTGACTCTGTGTTGTCCATCCAAGAACTGCCACATAACCCCACTTTGGGTGGGGAAGAAACAGGTCCACTGTGAGTCTCAGTGCATTCAGCCGAGGACTAGGGAACCTGTGAGTTCTGCATGTTGGATCCCCTGCGACTTCATGACCTCATTGCGCCCCTCGCGCCGGGTGTCCAACCCGATGCGAGCACCCTTCATCTCCCACCATTTTGGAGATCCCAGTCCTGTTCCAAACTCTGGGACGAGAAGAGTCTTTGAGCAGACCACTGGAGATGATTGCATGATTGTTTCACGTGTGTCATTTTCAATATCGGGTCCATTTAATCTGTCTAACTTTGCAAGACCATTGGTGACAAGACCGCAGCTGGTGTTCGCTCAAGGAAACTCCCAGAGTTTGAATGTTTTTTCCAACTCCCAGAGTTTCAACAAAGACTTCGGAACGCCCAAAAGTGTATAGCAAACAGTGTTCCCACAGACTTCCAGGGTCGTTGCAGGGAATTGGCAGGGTCCGTGGTTTTCACCTCGTCCGGGTACTTTGAGCCACGTCGAAGGACCTTTTGGGTCACCGAAGGGTCACCGAAATGGTACTGTTGACCGGTGTTTGAGTCACCGAATCTCAAGTCACCATGGACTGACATGACATGCAGATGCTGGAGAGGTTGAACACGAAAACACGCGCACGACCGTGCGTTGGAATGGCAAGGCAGTAATTGAGTGTGTTTTAGTCTTCGACTTCAGCCCGGTAGATGAGTACATGGCCCATCAAATGGGGCGACATGTTTGGATGCCCGACTGCAACTTGCGCTGCACTCCGCTCCTTTTGCCCTCTCGTGCGGTGGCTGAGCGTCTCTTTTTTTTTTCCCGCGAAGGTTCTGGCGGCGAGTTGCAGCATGTTGATCCGTGTTGCACATATCTTCAGTTCCGTACGTTTCTGTGAAGCAAGCCCTATGGCGGCTTCCAGGCTCGCAACATGAAAAAAGCTAAAAGAAAATCATGACAACTTATGTACAATAATTATCTAAGAAATGCTACAGCAAGTGGCTTGTTCATTCGCTCGAGCGTTCCAGTGAAGTGGGGTGAATGTTTGGCTCTCTCAAGAGGAGCCGTTTGACAGCTGGTCGGAACTCAAGTAAGTGACAAGCTGGCCAGTAAAAGGACATAGACATAGATTATGTATTTGCACGATTGTACACCTGTACATACCATATTGACCTCTATGTTTGGC